AATCTCACGGTCAGCAGTTCGAAACTACCAGCTGCTCCACAGGAGAAAGATGAGGCTTTCTGCTCCCATAAAGATTTACAGCCTCGGAAACCCTGTACCGGGTCGCTGAGTCGGAACTGACTCTACGGCACATAACAACAACAACAACAAGGAACATTCTGGCTGTACTTCTTCGAACATAGATTTGGTGGTCCATGGTGCATTCAGTATTCTTTGCCAACACAATGACACCATAATGCAGCTGGACCAATAAGCAACATCATGATAAAGCAGAGAAAAGGTCAAAGTTGTCAAGGATTTCATTTTCCTTGGACCCACAAACAACACCCATGGAAGCAGCAGTCAAGAAATAAAACAAGGCATTGCATTGGGCAAATCTGCTGCAAAAGACCTCTTTCAAGTGTTCAAAAGAAAAGATGTCATTTATAGGACTAACGTGTGCCTGATCCAAGTCATTGTATTTTCAATCACCTCACATGCAGGAAAAAGCTGGACAGTGTATGACGGTGAGTCAAAAATTATCCACACACCGGTTACATTAAAATTCTGTTGTCTGCATGTCTAATCAGCACTTTCTGTTCAAGGTCACTGCTGTGCAGGTGTGAACGTGGACATCTGCAAACAAAATTTGGACCAATACTCGAAGGAAGGAAAAAGTTTCTTTAAATAGATCATTACTGGTAATGAGACGTGGATTCATCTCCATGAGCCTGAGAGTAAACGGCAGAGTATGGAAGGGAAACATCCTTTATCACTGACCAAGAAAAAATTCAAAAGTCAACCATCAGCTGGAAAATTGATGCTTACAGTTTCTGAGATTCTCAAGGGCCAGTACTGGAACAGGTTCAACAATCAACAGTACTCTTTACAGCGAGATGCTCACTGAAGAACTGAGTCTAAATTTAGGATTAAATGCAGAGGACTATTATCGAAGGGTCTTAATGAACTTGCATGACAATGCACATCTGCACACCTCTGCCCACACTGTTGACACTCCGCAAAAACTTTGTTTTGGGGTGTTAAAGCATCCTCCCTCTAGTCCTGATCTTGCTCCATCAGACTTTCACCTGTTTGGTCCCCTGAAAGCAGCCCTTTGAGAGTGAAGATTCACGTCTGATGAAGGGGTGAAGAAAGCAGTGCATTAGTAGACCACAGCTCAGCCTAAAACATTTTTTTTAAAAATAAGGACACATGAAAGCTAGTTGACAGATGTACTAAATTTATTAGAAAAAAAGGACATTATGTCGAAATATATTTGTCTTTTCTAAAAGTTGATTAAGATAAATTCTACAGCCAGAGATAATTTTTTATTCACCCTTGTATAAGGAAGACCATAGAAAAAATGGATATCTTTGAATTATTGTGTTGATTCAGTCCTTCTTGCTGTTGTTTTTAGGTGCCTCTGCGTCACCTTTGACCCTTAGCGTCCCCCTGTACAACAGAACAAACCACAGCCCACCCCTGCACCATACTTGTAACCATTGTATCAGTCCACCTCATTGGGGGTCTTCCTCTTTTCCAGGGACAGGTACCTCTTGACAACATATCCAAAGTATGTGAGATAAAGTCTCCCTATTCCTGATTCTAAGGGGCATTCTGGCTGTACTTCTTCTAAGATAGATTTGTTTGTTCTCCTGGTAGTTTACTGGTACTGTCCAAATTCTTCACCAACATCATCTTTCAAACGCATCGATTCTCTGGTCTTCTTTATTCATCGTTCAGTTTTTGCATGAATGCGCTGCAATTGAACATTCCATGACTTCCTTCAGGTACACCTTAGTCCTCAAACTGCTCTTTGAC